CTCCAGAACCAACGTAACCATGTAACTACAGGTAAGTCGGAACCACTCCAGCCTCATTTATAATCAGCCGGCTAAAGCTAACTGACAAGCTAACAAACAGCTGAAGCTGGTGTCCAAAGTGACACCCGAGGGCTATTTTATAGTCATCTTGCTCCGGTTTGCTCTAATTAGATTCTAGTTATTTTATGTATTTTTCAGATGAGTTTTAAACAGTGCAGATAAATTTATGTCCGACAGTTGAGAGTTTCAGGTTTTAAACTTGAGCAGCTCCTTAAATCTGTGAAATAACTCTTTACTGAGGAAACGAGTCGGAAGCCAACTTCACCCGCTTGGCTCTCAGGTCTCAATCAGAGCCGAATCACCAAACAGCCTCTACGATGGTCATTTATTTATAATGATTTTCAGCTCATTTCAGCGCTAACTCGATCGGTTTAATCATCCTTCAATGTTTGGATGCCAAGTCATCCAGAAACGGACTAAGCAGGGAACCAAATGTTCGGTTCTACCTTCAAACCGAGCCGAAAAACCCGGAACGACTGAAACCCGAACCGTTTCTGCGGAATTCAACCCGTCCAGCTTACCTCCAGCTCCTGAGCTTCACATTGATCCAATAACTGATCAAAGTTCTCCTCCATGATCACAGCAGCGGGCATGATGCTGCCAGCCGGACTTCTTCCTGCTGTTATTATCTGGACGGTGACTGACTGCAACAGCGCCTCCAGGCGGCACGGGGGGGAACAACACCCCGGAATTACAACATTACAACTATTTACTGTAAAATGTATTATTCTGAACAAAAGTCACTGTTTTTTCAGACATTGTTTAACTATTTAAATTACTCATATTTTAAATAAAGGTCTTCCATCCATAATTATGAAGTTTAGATTACAGAATTAAATGTATTTTTTTATCTGAGGCTGATAAACTAGAAGGAAACCTTTGGACTCAGTGACTCCTGAGTTTAATGGCTGAAATGACCAATTTGTGTTGCTCTGTTACACAAAGTTCCCCCAAATCTGTTCAATTTTTGTAGAAAACTTAACAGATAGTAGAAATAAAACATCTCAGTCAAATATCAACCATTTCTAGTTGTTTAAGTATTTTAAGTTGTTTATTTTCTCCAGTAAATATCCAGTTTAGTTGGTTTATCTCTGGTTTCTGCTCATGAAGGATCAGCAGATTGGTTTACAGTTCTTTAGTTTATAGCTTTTATCAGCATGTTGTTAGGAACTATCCTCATAAAAATGAAATAATTTAACTCAGAAAAGATAAACCCTTTAAAATAATAAGAAACCCAGCATTCTCGGTGCAGGTGGAACCGTCCCTGCTGGTCTGGATGGTTTCTCTCTGGTCATGCAGTCAGACTGCAGCAGCAGCTCAGCAGAAACATCTGGAAAACTCGATCAGGAAGCCATCAGGGCCCACATATGTAAAGTTTACACAGAAACATTCAGGTGAAAGCTCTTTCACCTGAAGTGACACAGGCAACCATATCTGTATTGCTCAAAAAGATAAAGGTCCGCTTACATGTCAGTCTTTCTGCCCTATAAGTCCACTTTGCTGTGATTGTAAAATACTCAGTATATTCTGGCAGGCAGACCGGATCATTCACCAGGACCAAACGGGCTCATGAGGCGACAGCTTCATAGTAATCCTCGTCATTTGTTTAACATAACATATTTGCCGGGCGGGGATCTTGTGCCAGAGGCCATCATATCATTAGATGCCCACAAACATTTGACAGAATTGAACATAGTTATCTGATGAAGGTTCTTGAGCATTTTGGGTTCGGGCCGTCTTTCCGTTCATGGATAGAAATACTTTAAAGATCTCCACTGGCTGCAGTTCAGACAATTAATATCGTGTCGCATTACTTTCCTGTTTTTCGTGGGATGACAGCAGGATGTCCCGTTTCCCCCCTGCTGTTTAACGTAGCTGCAGATCCTCGACCCGGGGCTGATGGGAATAAACTGAGCTGGACAAATCCACCCTGTCAGAACATGCTGATGACCTCCTCCTCTTTCTGACACATGCAAATCCATCCCTAAAGCTGTAAAGTGCATTGAATAATTAGGTAGGACATCAGGATACTTGATCAACAGAACAAAATGTCTAATTTTTCCTGTTAATGATGAAGCCAACCAGTTGCCCCCAAACTCTCTTCCATTTGCAGTGAGTTCTGAAAAATGTGAATATTTAGGAGCAAATATAACCAGAAATTACAAAGATCCATTCAAGCACAACTTTGATACTGGCTTCAGTCAGTTTAAGCAGGATCTGGATTGCTGGTCATTCCTCCCTCTGTCCCTGGCAGGAAGGCTAAATTCAGTTCAAATGGTTAGAATGCCCAAAATGCTATTCCTTTTTCAGACAATTCCAATATTTATTCCTAAATCATCTTTTAAAAAACTAGAGAAGATCTGTCCATGTGAAGATCTGTCCTTTCTGATGGAAGATTCCTCCATCAGAAAGGAGTTGTTGCAGAGCGAAGGAGGAGGGAGGGCTGGCCGCCAATCATCATGTCAACTTTTACTGTCTGTAAACTGTTTCTGTTTAAGCCTGCAGAAAATCAAACGGTGCCTGTTGGTCACTGATGGAGCAAAACTCTTGTAAATCTGGTTCACTGGCCTCAGTTGTTTGTTTGCCATTAGATAAACGACTGATTACAGTTAACACGGTTACACTGGCGGCGATCAGGATCTGGAAAAGCTCAGGATCCATTTCAAACAAAAACTGGGTCTCCTGCCAGCTCCCACATCAGCAAATGCCTTGTTCCCACCTTCTTTAGTTGACTCCACTTTCCATGCCTGGCAAATAAAGGGTTAACTGGGAGCTGCTCAGCGATGGTCATCCAGCAGCTGCAGCACCATCTGGCCGACCTTCTTCCAACGGGTTTAGATATCTGTAGCTGCAGAGCTTTGTTAAAAAAACTTCTCATCAACGCTTCAGACTGCAGGACACAGTGGGACCGATGAGGATCCCATACAGAGAGGGGCCCCATCAACAGTGTACACATTGATCCATGCAGCTGCAGCGCCCTCATTAGACAACATGAAGGAACAGCAGCAGCAGAATAACTGAGTCACAGTGGCAGCAGGCTTATCGTCGATATGTATCAGACCTCATGGCTTAATACAATTTAAGGTATTAAACCACAGGGATCAGATGAGGCTGGCCCAGGATGTAAAGGTGAGAAAGGCACCTGGCCTTCTGGGGAACGTCTTCCAGCCCCTGTCTGAGTCGTGGAATATTAATATTCCCCCAAACGCTGTCAGCAATATTTGGGGTTGTTCCTCTGACATGCAGTGTTTCCACCTGGGAAGCTTCAGCTGCAGCCTTGTCCACACTGACTGCTGTGGTGGAAAACAGAGACTCCGATGGACTGAGGACTGGCTCTCCGTTCTGCCAACACATCTTACAAAACATGACAACCATTGACTCACAGTCAATTCAGCATAAAGTCAACTAAGACTTTATGCTGTTTCTATATCTCTGTAATAGATGTGTGGATTTGAATGTATTGGTTGGTTTATGTTGCTGAAAATCCAATAAAATTTTTTTTTAAAAACCAGACCTGAAAGCGTTTCCATGCTTTCAGTCTGACCTCTGACCTCTGACCTCTGAAAAAGAGCTAAAGATCAGAAGGAAGCAGTGAACTGATGGCCTCTGCCTTACCAGAGGAACCAAACTCCAAACCACCAGGAGGGGGCGACTGTCTCTGCTCCACGCTAGCTAGCAGCCTCTACTTCCTGTCTACTACAGGAAGCAGTATCAACATCTGATGACACCACGCTCTGTATTGCTTCAAAATGAAAACACAACGAATTCACATTTTCTGTTTTTTAATCATTTTAAAAGTTTGATCAAAATTCACACAACAGTTTAGTTTGTTAGTTTATGTAAAACTGGAGCAGTTGGAAAAAAATCAAGAATAAAAGATGCTTTAGCTGAAGCTAGCCTCCATCCGTAGATTGGAGTAGTAGGAGAAGTTCGCTGTAGCAGCATGACTACAGAAGTAGCTCCAGACGACCAGAACCAACAGAACCAGATTTACTCTGATGAATCTGAAGGTTTTTATTCTAACATAAACATTTTGAATCAAAAGTTGAAACTGACAGAGTGAAAAGATTCTCAGTTAATCAGAGACAAACTGGAACCAAACAACATTTTCTTTCAGTTGTTTCTGTTAAACAGGCTGCAAACCTGAGGAGGAATCTGCCAGATTAACACAGATAATCCCATAATCTGACTCAGCTCAGGTTCATGTTTATTACAGACAAATGATAAATCTGGAGGAAGATCTGATGGTCACAGCTCAGTCAGTTCATAAACATCATGATTTATTATCAGAGTGCCGAGTCTTTATAAAAGTTGCTGCTTCTGGACTTTCTTGATTTTTATTCTCATTGAATAAATGAGTCGTATTTCAGTCTGTGGTCAGAGCCGCTCCCAGGTCGGCACATCTGATCAAATCTCCTGCTGTTGAAGAAACGATTCATGAAAAGTGAGCAGCAGCAAAAAGACCCAAAGATTTCGATGCTTCATGTTGTTTTTATTCTGTTTCTGATGAAACTTTATGATCCGGTTGGTTTCATCTGACGACACGATGCAGATTGTTATTTACTTCTCCACAAACTAACCAGATCAAATCAGAGTTTTTAGTCATGAAGTTCCATTTAAATGATTCAACGTTGAGATCAGAAAAACTAAAACCTTCAGTTTAGCAGCAAACAGAAAAATTCATCTGGCAAAACAAAATTAAAATAATTTACTAAAAAGTTTTTATTTAAATAAAGAAAGTGAAAACGGAAGATAAATGCTGAGCTGGTCAGAGTTCATCTGCCCGGCAACAGGAAGGGAAGGACGACGGGGATGAACAGAATCATTTATTAATGATCCTGCTGCTGAGTGTGAGGTCAGGGCAACGCAGCAACGCAACACGGCAACGCTCTGCAGCAACGCAGCAACGCTCTGCAGCAACGCAGCAACCCGTGGCAGAGGAAGCAGCTTCCACATCCAGATGCTGAACGGCATCAAGGAGGAGAGCAGGTTGTCACGGCAGCGTGAAGCAAGAGATGAAACCGATCAGTCAGGTGGAATGGAGATGCAGAAATAATCTGTTACATCACTCCAGCTGCTCTCTGCTCCCAGATTACCACAGGGATTATCCAATTAGCCAGGTTAGCCGCAGCTGCTGGCTGGCCTGTTTCTGCTGCCGGAACCGCAACCTGGACACAGGTCCAGCTAACTCAGTGTTTCTCCACCCTGGTCCTCAGGCCTCCTGTCCTCCATGTTTCAGGTGTTTCCCTTCTGCCACCTGGATTATGTCTCTGGGTGATTAACAGGATCTGCAGCTCCTGATGGTCCTGCAGTCATTTGAATCAGCTGTTCTGGAACAGAGGCTCATCTAGAACATGCAGAGCAGGGGGGCTGAGGACCAGGGGGAGAAACACTGAGCTAGACAGACACCACAACAAAACATGGCCGCCACTGGTTGTCCAGATCCAACATGGCCGCTCTCTGTTTCTCCTCTATCGTTGGAGAGCTAACATGCTAACCAAAGCTAGCCTCCCAAAGCTTCCAGCAGGAAGCAGGTGAAGTTGTTTTAGAGAGTTGTGCAGCAGCTGTGAACTTTAACTAGGCCAGATGTTTGTTCAGTCCAGATCAAACTCACCAAGCAGAAGGAAAAAGTTCTGCAGAGCCC